TTCTTCTTCTTCTTCTTCTTCTTCTTCTTCTTCTTCTTCTTCTTCTTCTTTCTCTACTTTAACAATATTATACGTAACCACCATCTTTCTTTCTGACTTTTTTTCCTTCTAATTTCCCTCTTTTATGCCTGGGCTTTACTCGCACTAGTCATCCCCTTGTGAGATTTAATTTTTCGTTATTTTGATTATTCCATGTCATCCCTTTTTGGAATGCAATTTTTCGTTACTTGAAACCCCACTCTGGCTCTTGCCAGGGGCCGCAGTATAGCCCGGCCATCAATATGGCCTAATGTTTGAACGCGGTCCGAGACCTCCCCACGGATGATCCTCATCCACATATTGGCACTTTGTGTCGTCAGGTGTTTATCGCTTGTGTGATGTCCTGGTGGGGTGAAATGTACTACTACTACTTATGTAGAGTCTGTCCCCATACGGAACCAATTTTTCGTTATTTTGAAGCTCCATCCTGGTTGATGCAGGGGAGCTCTAATATAACCTAACCTTTGTACAGGGTTTTCTGGGACATCTCCATGGGGGATCATTATCCAAATGCTGTCACCGGGTGTTTATCGCTCAGTGTGATGTCCTAGAGGTGTAAAAAACCAGCCTCTTGTATGCAGTCAGTATGTCTCAAGATATTCCCCTTGAACTTAAAATTTCGGGTTGTAAAATATCTCTTAGTGATAGCATCTCGACGGCAACTTTAATCACACAACCTGAGTAAAGTCAAATATTCATGAGTTTAATCCGAAACATAAGCTAGTCAGTTATAAGTTTCTAATGTTTCAAGTCAAACAGTTTCAGCATGAGCAGTATTGGTAAGAACTGACATCGTGAATACACGCTTTCGCATACACAATCTTTCTCCTTTCGTCCTCTTATTTTCTTTTCATCCATATATTCCCCTCTCCAACTCTCTCTCTCTCTTTCACTCTCTGTCCTCTATATCTGGGTTTGGGGGTCCCATGCCTGCGTTTGGGGGTCCTATGTCTGGGTCTGGGGTCCCATGTCTGGGTTTGGGGTCCCATGTATGGGTTCAGGGGTCCCATGTCTGGGTTTGGTGGGTCCCATGTCTGGGTTTGGGGGTCCCATGTCTGGGTTTAGGGGTCCCATCTCTGCGTTTGGGTATCCCATGTCTGGACTTAGAGGGTCTCATGTCTGGGTTTGGGGTCCGATGTCTGGGTTTGAGGTCATAACAAAGCGCGTTTGCAACGCCTAAGCCACAGACGCAGACAGTTGGAACCTATACTTGTTTATTTGCTCCCTCAAGGAGCAACCGTTGTTGTTTGGAGGCAGGGTTCAGGCCCGCTTGGTCTCTTGCCTTAGGTTGCTGTTACTTCCATGCATTGTGTCATGTAAATCGTTCCAGCCCGGAGCGATAAAATTTTATTTCTTCTGTACATGTTAGGATTGCTTTACTGCATCATGAAATGAAGAATAAAAGAAAAAGATACAAAGTATGTTCTTTTCTGTTTGATGAAAGCTTTTCACCCCAAGATCCTCCACATAATGACTGTCTTCTTGTAAAACATTCGTTTTTGAATTAATCAAGTTTTACCACAGCCTTGGTCCTGCAGAATATGCATTTCTCTTTGTCAATGTAACATTGCCGCGTGAAGTGTAATAAATGAGGACAGTAGCGCACTGGGATTTGACGCTTAACTTCTATTTGTATAGTAACTCCAAATATGATGTACCCAACATCACAACAACCACCTTTACTTCGCATGAATTTCATGGTACTACGTAATTTTAGACTCGACGAGGATTCGAACCCAGTTAAAGACAGTGGGCCCGCCAATTTTAAGTCAGGCGATGAACAGACAGGTCACTTCACTGGGAAAAATTCATACTGACCGACTGACGTGTAACCCCACCAGCACATCACACTGAGTGATAAACACCGGTGACACAAAGTGCCACCATTCGGAAGAGGATCAACCAGGGACAGGTTACATAAACTCCTTCAACCCAGAGGGTTATAATTAGGGCTCCGACCACAGCTAAGGCGGGCATCAAGTTAACAAAAAATTGCATCTAGCATGGCGATGGACTTTACTTATTAAGTGAAAGGGCAAGCTTTACAGCAACCAATAACCAACTCCTTCCTTCCTCCCTTCTGTATTTTCCCTCTGGGCTTCTATTTGAAAGTTCAACCACCCAGAGATTGAAGTATCACAATCTAGATGACAAGCGATCCCTTATACATAAATAAAAGTAAAGGACCCTGTTCCACACCTTCAAGCATTTTGGGAATATAGTGTTTGGCCTAGATTGTGTTGACCAATCCGCCCTTGGTGGGTAATGTCAATATCACAATGGTTGCCTTTACTCCCCATGAATTTGTCTGGTACACATTTAAGGCTAGGTTGTTTTGGGAGCCAAAGTCATTTTTGAGGGAGGGAGTGTAGGAGGGGGCGGGTCTGGCTCCGTTTGGATTTGAAACCACAACCTTCGAATCCTCAGGTGAACGTCTAGCCACAACACCATAGGTGCTATCTTATACATAGATGTCATGTATGTAGTCTAAATTTGACGTGTGTGCAAAGCATGATCCTTTGTGGTCATAGGTGTCGATGCTGTAGCTACCCGACGTGGTGGTACACTGATCGTCAATAGTATCGTTGGGGTATAGATCACTGATTCTGGCGCTTAATGGTCGAAACAAAACAAACTCTGCTGCTGGCTTTCTTCGCTGACTAGACAAAGAGGACGTTGATTGATGGCAGGAAGAACTGGCGCTTAGATGGGATGGAGGCCGGGATGTAAATAGTGGTAAATGCTGCTGGGTAGTATGATGAGTGTTGTTTTTGCTGGCGTTGATTTGCGGACGTGGTGGTGAAGTTATTCTTTGATGTGGCGCGGTGTCATCGTCAGTGCCGAGGCCGCTGTCGAAGTTGTGGGTGCTGGTTCCTCGGGAACTCAGACTGCTGAAGTCGTGAGCTTGACCTGGTATGTGGATTTCTCGCCACTCGCGAGGCTGCGATAAATACAATCGAATATTCAAAATACAAATTTCAAAATACCAAGAAACAGAAACAAAACTAACTTATAAAAATATAGAAGCCTTCAAATGTGTTTTTACAATGACGCACAAACAGATGTGTAACATCTAAAAAAAAACACACACACACACACACACACACACACACCCATACACACGCCTGCACAGTTAACCAGTCATACACATACACACACACTGCTGTATTAATGTTCTAACATATGCAAAAATGTATGATGTCAAAACAAATAAACAGTTTCAAAGATAGCTTATGTACGCATATTAGTAGTTACTGCAGCAAAATATGCTTACATAGATATCCTATTTTAGTAGTTGCCCAGATATTTCTACATATGCATAAAATATAACTACTCTTTCACCTTGTACCTCATCGAAGTGTCCGGGAGGGGGGGGGAAGAGAGGGGGAGGGGGGCGGAATGGAGAAGTAACATTCGTTGATGAGCTCTATCAAGAGCACAATCAAGACTGATGTTCATTTCTGTAAGGCGGTTCTTAATGCCATCTCTCCATCTTTCCGAGGTTTTCCACTCGCTCTATACCCGTTGTAACGTTTTATTGTGGCTTGCTGTAAAAAAAAATACCTAATTGTGAGTATCTAGCATCTTATCAGTTTACCAGTGCTTTCCTAATATCCTACCCCAAACAGGGAAAATCTAGAGGTAATGGGACAGTCTAATATTTCTTGGGGTGGTAGATAGGTTGCATGCAGTCGTGGGATCTAGGCTGCACTCTCTCGTGGGATGTAGGTGGGTTGGGGTGAGGGCCAGTTCTCGATATTTTGGAGTCGTTAAAAGCATCAGAAAGCCGGGAAACCCAGTTTTACCACCCTCTAAAATGTTGGTCTGTCTTGTGACGTCATCTGGGTTAGATATTACGAAATAACCAATTTACCTTCTTGATGTTCAGTGTTGACTTGATACTGTTGATATGCTGGAATGCTTGCTGCAGCCGTAGACTTGTAATTCTGTTGAGTTCCTTGTCGCTCGTTTCAGCCTCACCTGTTCTGACCATGATGTCTGGAGTCTTCGAGACTCTTGGATAAGTCTGAATGTTGGACTGCTGAGGTGACAGTTAATAATGGAGTGAAATTAACACATTATTAAACTTATTCAAGGTGAAAGTTCATAATGGATGGAAATTAACACATTATTAAACTTATTCAAGGTGAAAGTTCATAATGGAGTGAAATTAACACATTATTAAACTTATTCAAGGTGAAAGTTCATAATGGAGTGAAATTAACACATTATTAAACTTATTCAAGGTGAAAGTTCATAATGGAGTGAAATTAACACATTATTAAACTTATTCAAGGTGAAAGCTAATAATGGAGGGAAATTAACACATTATTAAACTCATTCAAGGTGAAAGTTAATCTTTTTAAAACGAACTGACAGTAAAATTAATTAACTCTGTCAGTACCAGTCATGCATTATTCCCATGGCGACCTAATAAATGTTAGTCATAGATGCTACTCAGTCATAAAAAAATAAAAAAAAATCGGAGTTAGAGCTGAAATGCTACAGACAAATTCTAAGAATACCATAGACCTTGAAAATTAAAAACAGTAACCGGCTACGTGATGTGAAAATCGAGGAGACTTTGGAAATAAACACCATCCTGACATGAAAATTTAAGTATTTTGACCACGTTGAGCGTTATGGCGGCCTGGAGAGAACTGCAGTAGAGAGTGTAGTTCCCGGAAAACGAGGCAAAGGTCGACCTCCGCGAACGTGTATACAGGACATATTAGTAGATACTGCAACAATATATGCTTACACAGATATCATATAAAGATATACTTGCAGTTACTGCAAAACAAATATAGATATTATATGAACATTTAGCTACTGGTACATCATGAATACAGGACATACAGCGAAGATTATTGGCTACGACAGCATCTAGAGTTAGAGATCTGGCTATAGAAAGAGAGACCTTCAGATATGCCGTGACGAGAGCGACGTTCTGTGAAGGATCTGCCGATTGATGATTCACCAGACAACCCAAAAGGTTTATTGATTACCTTTTACATCGTGATAGCGTGATGGCTACCAAAACTATAATGTCTTGGGTTCAAATATCCATCCAACGAATTTGAAAAATATTACCTGGTCTTCAAAGCCGTGAGAGTTCTGGTGCCCCATTTTGGTAAACCATAAAAAAAAAAAAATCATAATATACTTCTCATCCCCCGCCCCCCCCCCCCACCTCCCGCAAAAAAATTGTAATAGGAGGCAAATCATTAGTGCTGTTTCCTCAAAAGTCGGGATGCCTCTGTCTGAGGGACAATGAACCAACAATATATATATAGAAATAAGCCAACAATCTTAAAATGCATGTACACGCAAAACGCAAGTTCAGGGCCAAAGCCCAGGAATGGACGAACACCCAGAACTTTCCGCTGAGGAGTTTACAGCCGGTGAACACTAAGAAGAAGAAGAAGAAAAAGAAGAAGAAGAAGACCCAGTTTAAGACACTAAAATGCAAAATCTTTGGAAGTGCAAATGACCGGTGTGTTGATGACCACATACCCCACTGAGTGGCGATGTGTCTAAGACTTTGGAAGTGCAAATGACCGGTGTGTTGATGACCACATACCCCACTGAGTGGCGATGTGTCTAAGACTTTGGAAGTGCAAATGACTGGTGTGATGTTGACTACATACCCCACTGAGTGGTGATGTGTCTAAGACATTGGAAGTGCAAATGACCGGTGTGATGATGACCACATACCCCACTGAGTGGCGATGTGTCTAAGATATTGGAAGTGCAAATGACCGGTGTGATGATGACCACATACCCCACTGAGTGGCGATGTGTCTAAGACATTGGAAGTGCAAGTGACCGGTGTGATGATGACCACATACCCCACTGAGTGGCGATGTGTCTAAGACATACACATCTAGCTCTACATAACTGAGGCACTCACTGTATTTACAGAGTCCTTCACTCTTCAACAACATTTTTTTACAGAAATATTTTTGTAAGATTTAAAGTGTTTACAGTATAAGTGACTCACTCGGATATCAAATGGTGACTGGCATTTCTGGAAAGATCTTTAATTACTCCTGTTTATAATTATTCATATATTTTTCATTACAGTTTTTTGTCTTGTTTGAACTTAGATTAGGCTGTTCCAAAGTTTGTAGGTACAGAGAAAACATGGAAAAAAGGGGGGGGGGGCGTCGGGAGGTTGGCTCTTCACACATTTGTGGATAGATTTGGTGGTGGTGGTGGTGGGGGGGGGGGGAACTGAAGTGGCATAAGTATTGTTTAAGTGCATAATTGTATACATGTGTGTGTGTAAAGTCCTAAAGACCAATATATATATATATATATATATATATATATATATATATATATATATATATATATATATATATATATATATACAAAATAATTTTGAAATATATAACACACATGCTTAATATGGGAAATTTTATACATGGTTCGAGGGCAGGCCATTTGCGATATGACACAACTGTAACCGGGGGGGGGGGGGGAGGGGGGAGAGGGGGGAGGGGAGTGGTAGTGGCAGTTAAGGAGTTTAAGCTCCCAGAGTGACTACCAGAGATTTTTTTAAAAAGTATGCAGCTACCGTTAAATGTCCGAGCGCCACTGGGGTAAAAGGCTCCTGTTCATTTTCTGAAACATTCTGACATAAAGGATTAGTGAGGCTGAATCCCGCTAGGACTGCAAACTGAGTGATTAATGCCTGGTGACCCAAAAAGTTACTATTCGGATAAGAATCCCACATGTAGAAATCTTAGACACCCGACTTAATGGTAAGGTTCGATTATGGTCCCAGATGGTTAGAAGGTAAGCTGAAGTGCGGACAGGGAGGTTGTACCTAAGGAGTGGGTGGAAGCAATGACTGGAGGAGTTCAACTGACCTGGTCTGAGAGTCCTCGTGCTGTTGGGGGTTGGTTGTAATCCCAGTAACTGTTGCCGACACTCTCGTTATTGTGTATGACACTGAGGCTGAAATTTGTGTCCTGTGGAGACAGTGAATCAAAGGTTAGCGTTGAAATAGTTAAACGTCTATTTTAAAACAAAGAATAACTTGATTTGAATTAGTGAATCAAAGGTAAAAGTTGTAATCTTCAAAGGTATAAAACCGAGCGGAAAGTACATTAGCAAGCTTCACAATATAATAAATACAAACAAAACGTGAACGTTGCGGCTATGGAGCCTTCATCAGCACATACAAATCAAACAATATTATACAAATACACAAAATCATAACCATAACATGAATACGTTTTCCCTCAGTCTATCTCGCCTACCTTATGGCTGCTGTACTGGTTGGACACTGTAGCACCAGTCTTGACTTTCTCCTCAGAACTGTTCTGGTTTTTGTCGAGGTATCGCAGAGGCTTTTCTTTATGGACTTTTTTAGCACAGCAGGCCACAGCGACGATAATGATAAGGACAAAGATGATACCACACACCACGCCGATGACTGTCGCTGTGTTTGTATTAGACTTCTGTGAGGCACCCACAACTGGATTCTGTTGAAAAAGAACACCAAATTCTGTTAGTAAAGATAAGAGAAATCGGTCCTTTATTAATATCCTACCCAAAACAGGGTAAATCCACAGGTCACGGGACAGTCTAATATTTCAGGGGGTGGTAGATAGGTGTCATACAGTCATGGGACCTAGGCTGCATGCAGTCGTAGGACCTAGGCTGAACTCTCTCGTGGGACGTCGGTGGGCTTTGGTTAGGACCAGTTCTAAATGTTTTGGTGTCGTTAAAAGCATCAAAAAGTCGGGAAACCCAGTCTTACCATCCTCTAAAATGTGGGAAGGCCCTGTGACGTCATCTGGGGGTAGGATATTAATAAATAACCGAGGAATCTTCTAATAAACACTAATCATGGACAGGAACTTCCACCGGTAGCATACACTGTGGCGTCTTCTCAATGAAAGTTCGCCGTGCACATTTTTCAAGGCTGTGTTGTGATCTTGGCGCGCCGAGGCAAATAAAACATTTGGGAGTCGGGGGGATATACAATGACAAGATGAGGATCAGAGCATCCTACACATTTTTTATTGAGAGCCCTTAGGACTAAGCCATGTTAAAGTGCGGAATAATAATAGTAATGTGCCTAAAGGCAAATACATATAACAATAAGTTAAAGTAAAGTAAAGTAAAGATCCCTTTCACGCATTTTTATATATATATATATATATATATATATATATATATATATATATATATATATATATATATATATATATACATACACACACACACACACACACATATATATATATATATATATATATATATATATATATATATATATATATATATATATATATATATATATATATAACTTTCATTGTCTCTGTTTGTCTGTCTGGCTTTTTGTGTCTGTTTGCCACTATTCCACTGTTTTCTTTTTTATCTGCCTAACCCTGTGTGTATGTCTGTCTCTCCTCATCTCTCTCCCTCTCATTCTATAAAATCAATAAAGTGAGCACATCTGTCAGGCGTTTATTACCTCAACCATTGATCACATAGACATATTGTTAGCCGTCCCGCCGTAATCAATCCACTGGGACAATTCTTTCTCAAAGATAGAAAGTATAATTTACCTCTTCCTGTCTCTCTCTCTCTCTCTCTCTCTCTCTCTCTCTCTCTCTCCTCTCTCTCCCCCCTCTCACACTCACACCCTCTAAAACACATAAATAAACGCACTTCCGTAGGACTGGGGGGGGGGAGTGAGGGGGGAGTGGGGGGGGGAGTGGGGGGGGGAGTGGGGGGGGGGGGGGGGGCTCACAGTCAGCTTTTAATTGAATCTTTTTTAGCTTAAGTTTTAGAGTTTAGTTTCCTCTTGATGGCCACACGCGCAAGGCTGACATCTAAACCTTCATCAATCTTTGGGATTGCTAGGGTTAGTGACAACCCTGCTCTGTGATGTGTCAGGGTAAGTGAGTACTCTGCTCTGTGATGTGTCAGGGTAAGTGAGTACTCTGCTCTGTGATGTGTCAGGGTGAGTGAGTACCCTGCTCTGTGATGTGTCAGGGTTAGTGTCTACCCTGCTCTGTGATGTGTCAGGGTAAGTGAGTACTCTGCTCTGTGATGTGTCAGGATAAGTGAGAACCCTGCTCTGTGATGTGTCAGGGTAAGTGAGTACTGTGCTCTGTGATGTGTCAGGATGAGTGAGTACCCTCTCTGTGATGTGTCAGGGTGAGTGAGTACCCTGCTCTGTGATGTGTCAGGGTTAGTGACTACCCTGCTCTGTGATGTGTCAGGGTGAGTGACTACCCTGCTCTGTGATGTGTCAGGGTGAGTGAGTACCCTGCTCTGTGATGTGTCAGGGTTAGTGACTACCCTGCTTTGTGATGTGTCAGAGTAAGTGAGAACCCTGCTCTGTGATGTGTCAGAGTAAGTGAGTACCCTGCTCTGTGATGTGTCAGGGTGAGTGAGTACCCTGCTCTGTGATGTGTCAGGGTGAGTGACTACCCTGCTCTGTGATGTGTCAGAGTAAGTGAGAACCCTACTCTGTGATGTGTCAGAGTAAGTGAGTACCCTGCTCTGTGATGTGTCAGGGTGAGTGAGTACCCTGCTCTGTGATGTGCCAGGGTGAGTGAGTACCCTGCTATGTGATGTGCCAGGGTGAGTGAGAACCCTGCTCTGTGATGTGCCAGGGTAAGTGAGTTCCTTGCTGTCAATGTGCCAGGTTAGATGAGTACCCTGCTCTGTGATGTGCCAGGGTGAGTGATTATCCTGCTCTGTGATGTGCCAGGGTGAGTGAGTACTCTGCTCTGTGATGCTAATGCCAACAGCAAACAGCACAGAACAAACAGTAAACAGTACTTACCACTGCTACAGCGCCCTAATAATATAAAATACTGGCAGTAATGATAGTCATCTGCTCAGAATTTAACAAAATCAACCAGCAGCTGGGTCGTGTTACACAAGAACAGAGGTTACATAAAAGAGGCCGACCAAGAAAGTGATGGTT